TGTATTTTGTTTCTGTTAAAACTTGTCATCCATCTGCCATAATTAGGAGCAAAGGAAGAAGAATTCAAAATTTTTAAAATTTATTCTTAAGAATTTATTCTCAGTATCAGAACTGAATGGCGTACACAGACTTCCCCCCCCAAAAAAAAATCAATTTCTATTTTTAATAGCTTTCTTCATTTCAGAAGGATAATCTAGGGCAGGTAGCTCACAGGGTGGTTTATTTGGTGTTGCAATTGGTAAACAACTGGAAATTAGAAATCCTTTCTGATTTAATACAAAAAAACCCCAAATCATCTCCAGATAAACACTCACTCCTGATTTAAACACTCCTGATTTGGACCTTGGTCCAAATGATACAACTACTATGAGCTTTCTTAAGTCTGATACTCCCCCCTCCCATTGCTATATATATTACTTCAGTGGTAAAATACAGACAATTATCTTTCCGCAACTTTGGCCCTACCAATTTGTGCCTTATCATTTCTTCTATATTCCTAAAACATAGGAGTAAATGAAGAAGAGTACAAAACTTTTTGCTAAGCTTGATAATTTTTTTAACATTAAATACGTAGAGTTTCACATTTTAAACTCACTTAACCCACAGTATTATCATGCCTACATAAAATAAACTAAAGAAAGTGCAATTGTCTTCATTTGCTTTGATGCTAAATGTATTTAATCAGATAAGAATAAGCACTGTGTAAGAAAGGATAATATGTTTTTAAAGTCCAATAAATTAAGCATCTACACATGTGCAGCCTGGTGAGCTGCCCATGCACTGTATAAGGTTCTTTTAAAAATGAGAAAGAAAGGATTCTACAATAATAGGTATGTAAATTTTCCATTATTATTATTATTATTATTATTATTATTATTATTGCAGGCAAGAATAAATTCAAAAGTGCTCTCCTTGTAGGTGAGATTGCAAGAAGTTTATTACATTTTCCAATAATCTTTGTACTTTGTGAAAAATTAAAATTAATAAAAAGTGTAGACCCCAACATTTTTCACAGAACATTGTGCATTTTGCACAATGCACTGTATTCTGTTTTTTAAAATTCACACAAACGTTAAAGGGTTTTTGCACAAATGAATTGCTACCAAAATTGTTTTGAATCATGAAAATTTTTGCAACTGTTGGCCATTTTCTCAATCAAGGATGACACAATGAAAGTATTTAAAATGCAATTAAACGGAGCTATCCACAGTGCTGAAGCCTATCATTATAATAGCTTCAACTCTTTCATAATGTTTTTAAAATTAGGACAAATACTGTGAGAGGATAAATCTTTCCTGTAATGTAAGAGCCCCCAGCCATCCCTTGAAGAGTGAGGACAAGCAAGAGAATGCAGAGAAACTTATGGGGGAATTGTTAACTAAAACTTTAAGCAAATGGATTTGGGGAGTATTTTCATTCTCCTTGAAATACTTCCTCAGGATATCTAGGGTAGCTGTGTTGGCCATGTAGCAAAGTACAATAACATCCAAAATCCACAAAACAGTGATACCTTTATTGGTCAAACAAAATTCACAAAATACATGTTGCAAGCTGTTGAAACTCCACTGACTTCTTTATCAGACAAATATGCTATAAATCATACAGGAGAAAAAAATATATATATGAATATATGATGATTTTATTCAGAAGCCTGCATTTTGTCAAGATGTTGCTGTTCTCAGTTCAGGTGTTGTTGGAGGAATGTTCATGCAGGCTGACCTGTCCTCATTCTGACCATATCAGTAATCCAGGAAAAAAAATATATCCAGGAACACCATCCTACCAAAAGAGAGCAAAATCCAAATAGCAGCAGTAAATCCTACATTTATCCCAAAATTAAGTATTACTCCGGCGACAACTCCTAAAGAAAACTTTACCCTCATGGTCTCTTGACACTTTTTGCAGCCTCCACTGCCTTTGTAGGTGGAGTCCTACCACCCTGGCCTGACAAGGTCTAAGGCTTCTAGGACTCAGATAGCTTCCCAGCACCTTCTAGAGAAGCATTAGCCTTGATAGCAGAAGCTATACTCTGTTTGCAAGATGGAAACAATCAAAATGATCATAGAATCACAGAGTTGGAAGAGACCACAAGGGCCATCCAGTCCAACCCCCTGCCATGCAGGAATATAACTCTGTGATATAATTCAGCGATCTACTTAGAAGTGTAAAGCCAGTGTGCTCTAATGGTTTGAGTGTTGGACTACAACTCTGGAAGATCAGGGTTCAAATCCCCACTCTGCCATGGAAACCCATTTGGTGACTTGGAGTAAATCACATACTTTCAGCCTCTGAGGAAAACAACAGCAAAGACCTCTGAAGAAATCTTGCCAAGAAAAACTACCAGTTTGCCTTAGGAGCATCATTAATCAGAAATGAACTGAAGGCACATAACAGTACAATAACTTAAAAGTAAGTTCAATGGGGCTTATTCTACCCTTGCCCAATTTCCTCTTCCTACTTTCTTCCCTGCCTATTTATCTTTATCTCATAACCCCTCTCCAATTTTCCACTCACCTGTAACTTATAAAATAAAGTTAGACTGCCCAAAATGCCACCATCCAGTGAAGGAAGAGAAGATCGAAATCCACATGAGATAGCAGAAATCCACATTCTCTTTCTTTGTATATAATTCTGTCTTTGTGAATCCCAAGAAGAAAAACAATAAAAAAATATATCACAATCTCCATGTCTTAAAAATATAAATCAACAGATGAAGCTTTGTATCTTTGTAAAACTAATGTTTTAAAAATGTGTTAAATGGATGTAACATTTTGCATGATATAAATGGACAACAGCGTGGTACAAGCTGATGAAACTGTCCAATGTTTTGTAAAAAGCTGGTGTAAATTTTTTTTGAAATTGTTTCTCATGACAACTTTTTGTGCATATCTGCCTACAAACATAGAGAAAGCAACAAGCAAGCTGGGTCATTCAGCAGTAAGACCAGCCTTGTTACAACAGTGAAAGTTTTTTATAGCTCGGCTCCAGTCCAAACTATTTATAAACTTTTGAACCAACCCTCAAGGTTTCCTCCTTTTCTTGAGGAGTTTGATTTCTAGCATCTAGTAAATTGATGTGATATTACAAGGTACGCACAGTTTTCAATTAATTAAAATCAAACAGTTATTAAAACAAAATAATCTCAAGTGGACTTGGTCTCCTTTAGTATGTGTGCCAAGTTTCAGGGGACCTGTTTTCATGGTTTTGGTGCTAAGGTGGAGACAGACATTACTATAAATAACATTTCTAAGGTACCTGTTGCAGAAAGAAACTGAGGCTATAGCCCTATACAGTTACTAAAGCTCATATTCAGCAAGTGGATCATATTGACCCAGTCCACCTAGATGCCATTTCCCTCACCTATCTATGGACGTTATCACACGTGGGCCAGAAA